AGACAAAATTTCATACTTGATATTATAAGAAATGTAGGGGTAAGGAAATGTTTAATAGATAGGGTTATTTGTTTCTTAGCCTGAAAATTCAAATTAGAAATCTAATGTAACGGGTCTTTTGTGATCGAATTTTTATTCTTTCGATCAAATGGCGATGAAAAGTGAAATTGTTAGGAATTTTCTCATTTTCATCTTTTCTAAATTGAATCCTAAAATTGTCCATCCTCTTCAATCCTCAATGTCGCCCCTCGTCGAAAGGGGGAAAAACCAAAGTTTAAGGTTCGTTTCGGTACAGCGCGAGTAAAATAAAATCTGATTGAACTCGTGGAGGTGAACTACGAGAGGCCAAAATGAAAAATGTCCGTTCAGAACAAGTGTTGCAGGGTAATGAGCTTCTTGAATAAAAAAATTCCGTGACAGTCCTCTTGACTTCTTAGTAAATTCTAATAAGAGATTCGGTGATTTTCCAATCATTGTTTTCTTACAAGAGGCACCTATATGAGATTCATTCACTTCAAATGTGGAGGGGCGGGGATCCTGATCAGACTTGAGGGAAAAGACCGAAAAAAAATATTAAATCGATGCGCCAGCTCACGGTCACACGACGATTTGTCCACCAAATTATACGGATGGGTGTTAATTATATCGATCAGAAATGAATATGCAGGCGTAAATACGAGGACTTTGATCCGTTGATTGGCCGTGGAACTTTCTCCGGGAGAGGAGCGGTAACTTCCAGGAGGTTTCTGCAACAAACGGCTCATTCACACGGCGATTAAAACTCGATGAAGCTGGCTGAGGAGGCGGATCGCGGGTATCGGAAATCCGCTCACCTGTTGGTTGGAAACCGAACGAAATTGATTAAAACGCTTGACCGATCTTCTCCTTCGTTGTCAAGTTTCATTCAAGAGTCCACTCAGACAAATAAATTCAACTAAACTTTCTGATAACAAACTAGTAATTTTGGCTGACCTGACCTAACCTCACCTAAACTAAACCAGCCTAACCTAACCTAACTTGACCTGACCTAACCTAACCTAACCCAACCTAACCTAACCTAACTTAACCTGACCTAACCTAACCTAACACTGTAATAGCCCCTGCAAAAGCTGCAAAAAGCTGCATTAAGCTACCAATTTTTATTCATTTTTCATTTAACCAAATAGGTATATAAACATATCGTGACCAAAAGAAATATACGTGAATTAACATTTATGAAATTAATACGATTCAACGACATAAGATAATACAGATTTCCAGGAAGACCAGGAATTTTGGAATTTTCTCATTAAATAACTTCTCTGCGTGGGTTAAATCATGATAAGAGAGGAGGAAGGACATGAGTATGAAGAAAAAGGAGAAAAGCTAGAAGGAAAGAAAGAAGAGGAAGAAAGCGAGGACAAAAAATGAGGAAAAGACGGAGAGGAAATGAGAAGGAAAGAAAAAAAAGAGGAGAAGGAACAAGAAGAGGTGAAAAAATGAGGAGACGAGAGGAGGAGGATAGAGGAGACGAAAAGAAGGATGAAGAAAAAGACGGAATCGAGCTTTAAGAATGGGAAGAAGAATACCAAGATGAGAGAGATAGAGTGGTAGAAAAGGAGGGTGAGGAACATAAAGAAAAAGAAGAGGCATCCGTCAGCATATAGAAACATAGGGACCGAGCATATTCGTTGTTTCTAAAACGAGCATGAAATATTAGTTTCGTACTGGAAAATGCATTCCAACTGTTAGGATGCTCCATGACAACATGGCAATGGTGCGAATGGGTATGCAGCGCCTTGACCCTGGCTCCCCTGCTTGCTCCTGTGCTCACGGTGCCCACTCGCGCTGCCCCCTGGTCGCCCAAGGTCCATGACCCTCCCCTCCCACCTTCTTTACCTTTTGCAATTTTATAGAGTTGTCATGCACTTGCTCCGTTGTCTGAGAGCGTCTAATCCCCGTAGTATTGGTTCTCAGAGAACCCGAATCATTAATCACCGGATGGGTTTTTTCTGCCAAAAAACGGTCATCGGAGAGACCTTCAGGGATGAAGAGTCTTCAGCACGCCAATTTGGCCAGTCGACTTTCGCTCAATCCGAGACGGCAGAGCACTTGGGAAAAAAAGCACATTGGATCTAGAGTCCAGACTCTTGAAATCTCGACAAGAAAAAGTACCCTTGATTCAATCAGAATCTAGCTTAAATCAAGAACCAAGCCTCTTAATTTAAGCGGATCTCGTTTTGATATTCAAGCAAAAATCCGATTGAATCAATAGTATTTTTTTTTTGTTAATGTTTTCAAGAGTCCGGACTCTAGATCCAATGTGTTTTTTTCCAGTGCAGGCAGACCACAATAAAAGGAAATAATGCGAGTGGTTACTAGATTCCTGACGGTGCAAATTAAAAAAAAAAAAAAATATCACAACCCTAACTATAAACCTAGCTGCTTTCGGCGCCAGATGTAGGAGTATACACCAGTCAGAGGTACGGTTGAGTCTGCCGGAAGTGTGGTTGGATCAACCAAATATCTAGTTAGTGCAACTACTATTGCCTTATATTTTGCGCCAGAATCAGCCAGGAGTACAGCATATTCTTGCTAGAAAATATTTAGAGCGTCATGCGTCATGTGCATTCCTTGGTCGGTACGATTCATATGCTGAACCCTCAATGATCGCGATAGTTCAGAGCACTTTCTCTAGTTTCCTGTGGGAGATAATGCCATAAAAATTACTTTTTTTTAAAAACGCGGGATTTTTCCAAACTCGCTGTAAGTAGTCCATTTGTCGGTGGAATGAAATGAAATAATCTATACTTCAAAAAGGTGAGAGGACTTCGAATATGGAGGCTGCGCATTCGGTGGACCTACACTGCCGTGCTAAGGGAAAACGCCGTATGAACATTCGAGCGTTACCAAATTTCATCCGATAAAATGTTTATTTTTGAGAGAAATTATGAATATTTTTCTTTGAAATCTCCAGACACTTAAGATCAAATTACAAACAAACTTATCTGAGAAATTGGAAGAAAAATATTCACAAATTTTCCTGAAGATCAGTGATTTGTCGAAGGAAATTTGGCAACGCCAAAAGGCTCATACGGCGTTCTTCCTTAGCATGGCAGTACAAGCGCATCGTATCGTATATATTGGTAACAACGTGAGATATTCAACAATGAGAAGGATCCTGCTAACCTTACGACCCGGAGGTTGCCCTCAGCTCGGTTTCAAACTTGCGCGCACACGAGACAGCCATGATATTGAACTTACTGGGCATGCCGTTGCAGGAGGTCAGCCGGCACATCGGCGGAACGACCCAACATTTTCGTCGACAGTACCAACATTATAAACATTATTTAAAACCGGAAGCAATGACACGCACTCGAGATTTACACCAAGTTTTTTCTTCTTATTTTTTCGCGCTTCTCCGGCGAGGAGTCATCCTGGGTTGCGGTCTCAGGATGTGAGAAAGCTAAGAAGCAAGCGAGGAAGAGAGCATGTAAATTTTTATTTCATCAGAAATCCGATATCTGCGGTTTCCTGTCACTCTTTTGCCGCCCGGTCTCCGCCGCTCGGTGAGAACGCGGTTTTCGATGATTTTTTTGAGCCTCGCTCTTTCCGTCCTTCAACCTTTCACTCGAAGAGAAGTTAAAGGGTTAATGGCAATATTACTGGAGAGTGAACATTGTCTGTGGATGATTTAAAATTCATTTACAGACGGATATAAAATCGTCATACTATTTCAAAATAATGCACGGAGAAAAAAACTTCGTGCGTGAGACCCGAAGTTTAGGTCATATGGATCTCTGAAGTTTTCGGATTGAGCATCAGAACACTTTAGGTCCAGCTGCTGAGGTTTGGATCACAAATCTGAAATTTCAGTTCTTACATCTGAAGTACTTCGGTTTTCACATCCGAACAACTTCGGTTCTCACATCCGAAAAACTTCGGTTCTCACATCTGAAGTACTTCAAATGTAAGAAGTGAAGTTTCAGATGTGTGATCCAAACCTCAGCAGCTGGACCTAAAGTGTTCAGATGCTCAATTCGAAAACTTCAGAGATCCATATGACCTAAACTTTGGGCCCCACGCACGATATTTTTTTCTCCGTGCATGTGCAATGAGAGCCATTGATATTATTTCATTCAAATCTACCGTGTTCCTGGCTGTGTTCTTGTGTTACCTTTGGTTAATACAAGAAGTAAAACACAAACCAACACAAATTAAGTGTTGATTTTGGTGCGGTTTGCGATGAGTTTAACGCAGAAAACAATGGAGAAATTGGGAAAATGCATTCCTCCGATTGCGACGTTGTTAATCACTTAACTCATTTTTTTATTACATTTCTTCAAGGAAACTAGCTGGGATTTTATCTTGAAATTGTCAGCCGAGGCTAGGATTATTTCGCGTCTTACTTCCCGTATTAATTAAACTTTTGTAATGAAATTTCTCTCTGTGTACAGCTGCGGTTGTATTCCAATGAAATCACACAATTTTTTGAGGTCGTTAGAAATCTCAATGAATCTAAGAGGTAATTGGTTTCAAAAAATAGCATGCATTCAGTAAACACATAAATTCACGTACTTAACATAGTTGCGATAGATGTACACGAGACGCACATCGAGTACAGTATAAGTGAAGGACCAAATGCCAAGTTTGAATGGTAAACATACGCTGTTTCAGCTATTTTCAATTTTTATTGAATCTACAGTGTCGTAAGAAAGAACCGAACTCAATTACTAGTACAATTCTGAGAAAAAAGGACTCGGAGTTTTATCCCTCCATTAGAATAAGTGACGACTGTAGCTTCCAAGTATAAGCTTCCAGTTGAACTGTAATTTGTTTTAAATATTATTTTAGCACAAGCATCTCTAACTCATTTCCTTGCGAAAGCAGGTCCATTTTCATCTGATGACTTGGTCCTAATCATTAACCACCTTAAGAATCCCCTAATTTATCACCCCACAAGATTTTGAATCACCTAATGGTTGACGGAACTGAAATCAAATGAGAGAATTAATTCTTACCTTAATTCGGTGCTTTCGTTAATCCATTTCTCCATCCACTATCTGAAACATAAAAGTAAATGTAAAAATATTACATCAGAAAAAAATAAGTTTGAACTCAGAAAAACTCTTTTATCATCGGCGCTAAAAATGGATAACAAACTCGATTGATTTGAAACGAAAATTTCATACTGAAAATACACATAATCGTGAAACATTTTCGGCAAAAACCGTACCCCAAAGAAGTTTGCAACTCGAACTGAGATTTACGGTTCTGGTTCCTAAAATTTAGCAAAATTTCCAAAAGTTGGCGTACCGGTGGCTGGCAGCCAGCGGACTGATTGTTGCCATTCATAGAAAAAAAGGACAAAATGAATATGAAGCGACCCTATTGGTTAATTTGGATAAGGGGGTAAATGATGAACTAATCAAAGGGTCTCTCGTTAGTTGCCGTTAGTTAGTCAGTCTATTATCTACCTCCTTTGTCCGTTGCAACCCCCTTTTGCCTTCTTTGTCTGTAAATTTCAACAATGGAAATGTTGCATGTGTGAGGAATTTGCGATTTGACTGTTAATTCTTATGTCAAAGTTCGCGAGAAACACGATGGTGCCACTGGTTTTCTCTGAAATCAACTCTCAAGCTCAAAAAAGCTCTCAAGTAGAGGCCAAAATAAATTGGATCTTGCGTCCATACTCTTGAAAACATTGACAAGAAAAAATACCCTTGATTCAATCGGATTTTTCCTTGAATCATAACGAAAACCGCTTAAATTAAGAAGCTTGGTTCTTGATTTACGCTAGTTTCTGATTGAATCAAGAGTACTTTTTCTTGTCGATGTTTTTAAGAGTCTGGACTCTAGAGCCAATGTGTTTTTTTCCCAGTGTATGCTGATTACAAATGCAACTCAGGTTCCCACTGCACCGCGCTGTTTCGAGCAGTTTATTTCGGGCTCATCTCCGGATAAACCCTCGGCCACACACTCCAGCGGCGCGGCGCGGCGCGGTGGATCCTGATCGTAACGCACTAGCGGTAAATCCTCCCGTGCGAACTTATTTTCATTTCCTCTGATTCTCCTGATTCGAGTTTTTTACCCGCCTCGCTGCGCCGTGCAGAGTCGCACAGCGCTGCACTGGCCTGATTTAAGTAGCGGTGCACGGGAGTATCCAGCACGGTACCGTAAAGAAGCATCCGAGAGAGGCAAAGAATTATAATCAGCAGATCTCGATTGTAGCTCTTACCGGCGGGTTCCCTGTTCTCAACGATAATTTAGTTTCCTTGTACAGATTGCACAACCGACCCGCGTAAGCGAGCAATCTAGACCTGGACCTCTCACATTCGCCATTGCCACCTATTGTAAGTCTCGCACCACGTTCTCTATATTCGATCCCATGTGTGTCGTTGCACCTCGTTAAGAAACCGATTAGCTCGCCCTCAGCACTGGAAAAAAAACATATTGGACCTAGAGTCCAGACTCTTGAAAACATTGACAAGAAAAAATAATCTTGATTCAATCAGATTTAAGGTTAAATCAAGAACCCAGCCTCTTAATTTGAGCAGATTTCCTTTTGATTTAAGCTTAAATCTGATTGAATCAAGAGTCCTTATTCTTGTCAATGTTTTCAAGAGTCTGGACTCTAGATCCAAAGTGTTTTCTTTTCCAGTGAGCCCTCAGGGCCTGAGCGCGGAATCATTATCGGCTGCATCATTTCTTTACCTGATCTCTAATATTTCGTGTACGATTTCATGAATAAATTACAAATCTATATAAAACGCAGGTGAAATTTTTTTCTTTCTTTTTTTAATGACTGCTACTCGAGAGACTGACACGGCGGAACACACCTTTTCAAGTGCAATAGTAACTTCGTGCAAAACGAAAGAGAAGCCTTGGTGGGGGAATAAAGGTGGAGAACACCTTAGAAATTAAGTTACGAGGGGCGTTCAATAAGTAAGTATCCCCCCCTCTCTAAAATCCATAAGAATGGACCAATTTTAAAAAACTTGGGCTCAAAATCTTCCTTAGGATATTTTGAGTTCAACAAAACAAACCGCAACAAAATCGGACTATGTGCGGCCGAACGCGAGCCGTTTGAACGCGCCGAGGTGCTCGACGCTCCCGCCGAATCTGCGAGGATTTGAAGTCCGCTACAGGAGAAGAGCTTCTCTGCCAAGGCCTCAGTCGTTCATCACTGACGAAAAATCAAAGAAATTTTTGTAGAATAAGGGGCTAACCTCACTTCTCCACATAACCAGATCGATCCAAGCAAGTCTGATACTGAGACTAAGACTAAGAGAACAGCTTTTGGATGCCTCGTGCGTGGAAGTCTTTCAGCTGACCGCGGATGAAAGAGTGGACGGCTTGTTTGACCTCTTCCACAGATTCAAAATTAACTCCTCCAAGTTCAGATTTCAGGAACGGGAATAAATGGTGGTCTGGTTTGCCATTTATTAATTTATCTGAAATCTGAACTCGGAGGAGTTAATTTTGAATCTGTGGAAGAGGTCAAACAAGCCGTCCACTCTTTCATCCGCGGTCAGCTGAAAGACTTCCACGCACGAGGCATCCAAAAGCTGTTCTCTTAGTCTTAGTCTCAGTATCAGACTTGCTTGGATCGAGCTGGTTATGTGGAGAAGTGAGGTTAGCCCCTTATTCTACAAAAATTTCTTTGATTTTTCGTCAGTGATGAACGACTGAGGCCTTGGCAGAGAAGCTCTTCTCCTGTAGCGGACTTCAAATCCTCGCAGATTCGGCGGGAGCGTCGAGCACCTCGGCGCGTTCAAACGGCTCGCGTTCGGCCGCACATAGTCCGATTTTGTTGCGGTTTGTTTTTTTGAACTCAAAATATCCTAAGGAAGATTTTGAGCCCAAGTTTTTTAAAATTGGTCCATTCTTATGGATTTTAGAGAGGGGGGGATACTTACTTATTGAACGCCCCTCGTAGAATGTAAGGAAAAATGGCAAAACGTGCGTCTAATCAAGGTCATATTAGTGTATGAGAAAAGCGCCTGCAACGCGATTCCTGCCGAAGCAGTGGCTCATGGCGGTCCTGGCCTGTTAGCCTTAAGACACATTACGGAGAGTCTGGCAAACTAAAAAAAAAAATAAATAAATAAATTGATTTTTTAAAAAAAATAAAAAAAAATGAAATGGCTGTTATTAATCAACATTGATTTTGATTTTTACCGGAGGCGGAAGGTTGGAATTCGCTCATTTTTGCCGTTGTCACTCATACATTCAGCTTGACAGTTGCCATGAGCCCACTACTAACTATACATTTTTTGCTCATGCGAACTCAGTCAGAATGCATATTCTGAATACTGGTGCATCAGTAGCTTTTCTTGGGCACGATAAGGACTTTACCCTCACTTCAGAGTTGATTTCGGAAAATATCAAAATTTTCAATATGCTTTGCGTGCAACATTGATGAAAAGTTTGACAGTACTCAATTGTGACCTTAGTTCTGTGGGTATAATCTCACTTTAGAGTTGATTTTGGAAAATTTGCAGCAAAATGTTCAATGTGTTTTGCGTGCAACATTGATGAGAGATCATGTTTTGACGTTCTTTTCATTCTCAATAGTGTCCATCGGAAAATATGTATATCCTCCAAAATTATCATCCTTTTGGTTGCGGGGAGGCGGAGGTTGAAAGAAATACTGATAAAGCAATAGTTACTTAAAACACTTTAGACTGCGATCCACACGAGCATGTATCCATGTGTCCCGCACGTATTCTAATTTCTACAAGCTTTTCGCTTCTCGATCACTCCTCAATGACGCGAGCCTCAAGAAATAAAATCTCCTAGATCCGTCCTCTAAGACTACTCGATTTTCAAGGAAGACAAAGGACAGCTTACAACGATCGGAATTTTCTTTCAACTTCCGGAAAGATTAATGGAATGATAACATCTGAAAACGGAGCTATCCATGCAACGTTGTTCTGACCATCTTTACGTACTCATGGCAGATGCTAAAACGCACAGTAGTAAGAGCCAATGGGACAAACTGAACATGATATGGAAACTTTAAAAGCTCATATTCTCGTTAATACGGAACGTGGGAGCTTAGAAGTTGCTCGGAAACTTTCCTGGTAGAATTACTTGCAGAGACCACCCCTTAATTTGAGGGAATCTGCACAAATTTTCAGTTCCAAAACAACTTGTGCGTACGTCCTCTCTCAATGGAGATGTTGCAAGTGTGAGGAATTTGCAATTTGACTGTTGATTCTTGAGTAAAAGTTCGCAAGAAACACGATGGTGCTACTGGTTTTCTCTGAAATCAACTCCCAAGCTCAAGAAAAGCTCGCAAGTTGAGGCCAAAATGGAGGGGATATTCCACGCTATTCTGAGAGTCCACGTCTACATCAAGATAAACTCTCCATACAAAGATAGGGAATAAACACATTGGCAGGGTTGCCGTGTTTTCAGTTTTGGAGTCCCCAAATAAAGTGGCAACCCTGCTAATGTATGTACTCCCTATCTTTGCATGAAGAATTTGTTTTGGTGTAGAGGTGGACTCTCAGGGTAGTGTGGGATATCCCCTTCATTTTGGTCTCAACTTGAGAGCTTTTTTTGAGCTTGGGAGTTGATTTCAGAGAAAACCAGTGGCACCATAGTGATTCTCGCGAACTTTTACAAAATAATTAATAGTCAAATCGCAAATCCCTCACACATGCAACATCTCCATAGCTCTTTTCCACTGTGCGGCGCGGCGCAGCGCGGAGCGAGGCTCAGTCACCGTTCGATCCGATCCAGTTACTTATAAGCATTTCCCCCTCCTCTTCACTCCCTTTCTTTCTCTCGCAGAGCTTTTTTAAGCCGCGCTGAAAACGGCCGCTTCCGAGTGATCTCGCTCACGTCTCGGCGTTTAGCTGCTTTCTGCTGAAACAAAGCCGACATGTTATTTACGAGGCCAATTTCATTTATGAAAGCGACGACTCCACTACAATGTTAAATGCTCGCCGACTCGTGTCTCCCGTCTACGGTAGCAATTCGGTTTTTCTACGAGTTAACGCAAACGCAAGCCTCACCCTTTTTTATACGGACGTAGAAACAGTGTAAGGAAGAA